ATCCCTCAGAACTTGCTTCCTCCTCTTATTATCAAAAATATGAAAAAAGAAAGGAGGTACCAACAGCACACATTGCTGCTAATACAGAATGGCATTTGTTTACTCTACTAACGTAACTTCAGTAAGATTCTTAAGCACAAAACCAAGCAAAACCCTTTCCTTCAGCTGTGTGTGATCACAAAATACCATTACAGAGATTTTTGCTTTTGTTACTGCTCTCCATGAAAGGATTCAGGTATTTCCAGGCTTTTGTGACGGCCATTGGGTACAATTGCAAGCTGCCTGAAAGAAAAGCTGCCATCTCTGTTGTTGCACAGCTTAAAATAAGCAAGGGGCAGCGTTTTCTGTCTGCCAGAGCCTTAGAGCAGTGTTACCAAAGGGAGCATGTGCTGGCACCTTAGCTCTCTAGTAGAAAGCCCAAAGTAACAGCTTAACTGCTGCTGGAGGTGCTTTTGAGCTAAGATGCCAGACTGAACTGGAGCAGGCACGAGAGACATCGGGAGCAGACAGGTGAGGAGATTAAATCTTTCCAGGGAACTTTGTTTATCGGTGCTCATCTGTCAGAGACCTGAAAGGGAGAGAAGCAGCCTTGCAGCAGAGCTGGATGAAGGAACCAGGGCAGGGCCAGAGTAGCATCTGGATGGAGGTTTTGTTTTTAACCTCTAGAAACATCACAGAGGATTTTCAAAGGAAATATCATCTATTAAACCTCTCATGAACATTTTCTTTATGGCGAGCCACAGCAATGAGACACTGCACTGACTAAGCAAACCCAAGGAGCTATGTGAGGGGTTATAATCATTCTCTATCACGGGAACATGGCATTGATTTTGAAACAGGAAAAGTGTTATTAACAGCATTTAATTGGAGACCACTAAAAATAATCAAGGATATGAATTACTTCTTAGGTCAGTATGTAAAATCCAGCTGTATTTTCCTTTTTGGTGGGTTAGGTGACATTGCAATACATTGCCTTGACAGGCCATTGATACATTCACTGCACCCCAGAACTGGCTAACAAGTTCAACTGGCTTTCTGTGAGAATGCAGGAAAAACCTTAATAAAGTTCCTTTTGTATCCCAAAGCAGCTGTGCAGAAGAATAAATGGCTTCAGCTCACCACATGGCCTAAAAGGAGTTTGGGGGCTAGAGTAGCCTCCTATGCGTGTACCTTGGAGAGAGTCAAACCAGCTGTGTTGAGCAACTAGCTGTTGGCTGGTAGCCTGCGAGAGCCTGTGCAAAGAAACAAGGGAGCATTTCTCAGGACTCAGTGGAAGGGGGGGGCTGGCCTGTGTTTTTTGCCAGTGGCACTTGTCCCTTTGGCATGTGTTAGTACTCTGGCTTCTGAAAACAGCATTTCTGCACCTCGCTAAAACAAACCAGTCTTAAAAAAAAAAATGTAAAAGATAAACAAAAACCTGATTCCATAGTGTTTTTCTCCAAAGAAGAAATTTGCTGTGCAGGATCATGAATGGTTCCTGCAGAGATATTTTGGCAAAGGGTCCATAATATTATCCTTACAGCAAAAGAAGGCGGCTGGCAGAGGGCAAATAAACCCTAATTTTAAACCTAGCCCCCCTACCCCTGGAGCAAAATTGTAAAGCCAAATGACTCCTTTTAGAAAAGCATCAGGCTTGCCAAATTGTAAGGAAATTGCTCTCTCCCATTGTAGCCCCAAAGGAGGCCCCTTGCAATAAGAACAGCACCACAGGCAGTACCAAATCCTACCACTTGCTTGTATGGTTTGGAGTTGCTCCCACACTTCTCTGAACAAAAATCTGAG